CCTGAGATCATGAGGAATCACTAATGCATTACCTTTGAAAACTAAATTTTCACCCAAAGTCAACTCGTCTTTGACCTTCCAAAACGGTTTCACATTGTCGGGAACATTTTTCTTATGACTAGGCCAATTAGTTACAATGTAAGATTTAAGGACTTTCATGGTTTCATCCTCATTTGTCAACTTTTTTAACTTAGTTAACTGATCATTGGAAACATTTATACTATTTACAACTGTACATACATGGGCTTCAATACTCTGCGTTTGATTATCTACATCAACTGGCTGAGACACATCATAATTAGCTCTTGACAACAAATCTGCAATGACAAGATCTTTACCTTTCTTATAGACTAGATCAAAACTATAACCTTGCAATTTTATCAACATTCGCTGCAAGCGAGGAGGACAAGAATCTATATTTTTCTTAAAAATAGAAATTAAGGGTTTGTGATCACTCTCAACTGTGAAATGAGTACCATATACATATTGCCTAAAACGCTCACAACCAAACAATATAGCTAATGTTTCTTTCTCTATCTGAGAATACTGCTGTTGTACATCATTCAAAGCCTTGGATGCATAAGCAACCGGAAGATTATTTTGAAGGAGAGAAGCTCCTAAAGCATAGCTAGAACTGTCAACCGTAATGGTCACAGGTTTTTTCATGTCAAAAAACTGTAAGACTGGTTTAGACACAAGCAACTTTTTAAGCAAATCAAATTTTACCTGTTGTTCATTTGACCACACAAATGCAACGTTTTTCTTCAAAAGAGCACGCAAAGGTGCTGTATGCTCTGACAACTTAGGAATGAATTTACTGACATATGTGATTAAGCCTAAAAACTGTTGGAGACTCTTTTTGTCCTTAGGCTCAGCCATATTAGTTATGGCCTCAATTTTTGATTCATCCATGTGAATCCCTTCGCTGTTAATTCTATGACCTAGATAATTAAGTTCGGTAATAGCAATCTTACATTTACCATAATTTAACTTAATGTTTTCAGATCTTAATTTATCTAAGACTAGTTTTAATCTTTCATCATGTTGTTTCTTAGTAGCTCCCCATATAATAATGTCATCTACATACACTTCTACGCCATCCATATCATCAAAAATTTGCATCATCTTTTGTTGAAAAATCTCACTAGCGCAACATAACCCGTAGGGTAACCTCAAAAACCTATACCTCCCAAATGGAGTATTAAACGTACACAATTGAGAACTTTCTTTTGTGAGTTTTATATGCCAAAACCCGTTTTTTGTATCTAGTGTACTAAAAAACCTAGCACCTGACAATTTACAGGAAATATCATCAAAGGTTGGCATCTGAAAATGTGGTCTCAAAATGACATTATTGAGATCTTTAGGGTCAATACATAACCGCAACTCACCATTAGGTTTTACTACAATAACCAGAGAATTTACCCATTCTGTCGGTTCACTTACTTTATCTACTATTTTAAGCCTAACAAGTTCATCAAGTTTTGACTTAAGTCTAGATTTTAAAGCTAAAGGTACCTTTCTTGGTGCATGTACTACTGGATTGCAGTCAGATTTTAGTTTTATGCTGCATTCTCCTTTAAAACAACCTACACCTTCAAAAAGGTCACTGTACTGATTTAGTATCGACTCACTATTAGTGTTACCGCTTTTACTCTTGTGACTGTGGGCTAGGCCTATTTCACTAGGCTTAGTTGTCATATAGTCTAGCCTTGATATTAACTTTAACTTTACACAAGCTGAAAGACCTAGTATACATGGTGCATTGTAGTTAACGACATAGAAAGGTAATTTATGAGTTTCACCTTTATGCACTACATCAAGGTAACATAAGCCTAATACAGACAATTTCTGACCCGTGTATGATGACAGTTTGATATTGGTAGGCAACGAATTGTGCTTATCTATTTCAAGTAAATCAAGATAGTCTTGAGTCAAAACACTGACCTGAGCACCGCTATCTAGCTTATAAGGAATGTAAATAAGATCATTCGTTAATAGCTTTACAGACCATTCATTGTTAGAACCGATTTCATTTATGCAACCTAGATAAAGTTCATCTTCACTAGGCTCATCCTCTGATTTAACTTCTATTGAACTTACATTTTTATTTTTACACTGGCTAGAAAAATGGTTCAATCTAGAGCACTTAATGCATCGTTTGCCATAGGCTGGACACTTAAACATCGGATGATTATAACCACACTTTCCACATACCTTTCCCATAGGCCTTGTAGATTTTCTCGTAGCGCCTGTGCTACTGGTAGGTTTATATTGGTTTCCCTTACCTTTGTCCGACCACTGCTTCGTAGGTTTGGTAGCCTTGATTTTATGTAGGCTTAAACCTGCATCGGTCGATGTACCGGTACAGATTTCACTCAACTGATGCTTTGAAATTTCTGACGCCCTACATATATCTAGAGCTTTATTAAGATCTAAGTCTTTAGTCCTTAAAAGTCTGTCTTTCACTGCCCTGTCTTTAATGCCTAACACAATCCTGTCTTTAATAAGGCTATCTGTTAATGAACCAAAATCACAGGTTGAACTTAAATCCCTGAGGTCAGTCACATACTCATCTATAGGCTCATTGTCCTTTTGTTCTCTTAAAAAGAAATTGTGTCTTTCAAAAGTTACGTTAACTTCAGGCAAAAAGTAGTTATCAAACTTGCTAAGAACATGTTTTAAGTCTTTAGCCGATTCTGTACCAGTGTAAGTGAAGTTATTGAATACTTTCAAAGCCCTATCACCTATTATGCTTAAAAGCAAAGATACTTGATATTCTGAGTCTTCATTTTGAGATTTTGATGCAACAAGATATATTTCGAATTTCTGTCGGAAAAATTTCCAATTTTCTCCTAAGTTACCTGACCATTGAAGTTCTGATGGCGGTCGAATGTGAGGTGCACTACTTGAACCTTTTACACTGTGCCCTTTAACATCTATCTCCTCTTGCTCATTATTACTTTTAGGCATTTTTATTCCTTTTTATGTATAGTGGCTGTAACATTACTTTTAATTTTGACTGCGCCATATAATGATGGGATGTTTTAATAATAGTCCCAACTCAGTTACAGCCATTTTATTAAGTTCAATAAGTAACAAAGAGATCGAGAATTCAATTGGTCTTCCTTATATAGACTCGACATAGAGTATCAACTCAACTTAAATAATAATACAACTTAGAATAAGAACATACATATATGACATAAATATTATGGACTTTTGGTTTAATTTAGATACAGTTAAGTTACTATTACCACCCCATATGAAGTTCTAGGAGTCTTGAAGGAAGATTGGTCAAATTCAAATGTTGTATGGCCATATGTTCCACTGCACTGGTGTAATTTAGTCCATCGAGAAGATATGTTCAATGAATGTCCAAATGTGAAAGAAATGAAAGATGCTACTCAAAGAAACTATATTACGAGGAAGCAATTCACTTGAAAGCAGCAATCTTTACATTTTAATTTTGTTATTGTATTGTTGCGGCCATGTGGGGATTTTGTAATATGCTCTCTCTCTCTCTCTCTCACACACACACACACACACACATACACACAATGATCAGCTGGCCTACTTATGAATACTGAACAGAAAGCGTGAACCTGATAAGAAAGATTAAGGTTAGAAGGAGGCAATGACACCAGCATGCAGCGGTCATTCCCTAGACTATACTTCCGTGTGGCCCGCTGGATAAACGATCGGTTGAATAGTTAAGTGTTTAGTGTATGTGTGTCACTAAGTGTATCATAAAAAATTTCTCAGTGTTTTAAAAATTAAATCGGTGTGTTCGTATAAATGATATAAAGATGATGACGTTTGCCTGAAGATGACCCCATGAGGATCGAAACCAGTCTCCTTTCAAGGCCATAAGAATCACTTGACAGCAGGTAACTGCACCAGTACTTGTATTTTTTTTCATCCCACCCTTTAAAACTTTTTTAAAATTTGTTTTGTACTTATCAGCTGCTGCATAAAACATGGTTTTCATTTTAGTACCTAACTAGTTGCTCTGCCCGTGCTTCGCTACGGGGTGAGAATGCAGAAAAGAATAATTCGGTTTTACTTTAAGATACTATAATATTATATACTATGAGAAACAGTTACAACACCAGCAACACCAGGAAACATATAGGCAAAAGCTCAATCCTGCTTATTGATTATTTAAATTAAGATCTCTTAATTACATTACTATCATTTTATATAGTGTATAGCATTTAAAATATATGCAAAATTATAATTCATTGACCACATGGTACCAAGAAACAATTCTCCTTGTAAAAAAATTAAATTAAATAGCAGAACAGCATTTCTGACAACAGCTGTAGTTTCATAACAATGTTTTTTCCCATGTTAATCTTATGGAGAAATACGAAACTTCAAAGGGCCCCCAGGCCTCACTCTCTAATTATTTTCCCAAAAAGAAAGTTTCCTGCACAACTTCACGTTACGCTCTTTCCAATGACACCAAAAACATGTCAATCGGTTCAGTAGTTTCGGAGGAGTAATTGTCACAAAAATTCTGCTTGCGTATTAAATAAGTATATAGATATTGCTGGTTAACATTAGACATTCCATCCCCATGTTAAATTTGTAGCCAGCTTTTTTACCAAAATCGTCATAGTTGATGTGAGCCACTGACAGATTGTGGCTGATCTAAATTACTGATTTCTGTTGAATGCACAATATTTTTAACCAATTCAAACTAATGGAATTACTTATTGTGAGCTATAGCAACTGTTATGACCCATCAACTTGGCCAGCAACAAAAAATAAGGTAGAAAATAGAGTTTTAGCCACTAGCGCATTCTATGTCTGGCTCACACAACTACAATCTTTTTTAACAAAAAATTGGCTACAGCTGGTCCATATAGATGGGACGTCTAACATGTTTTGTGGTGCTATTAGTACTGAAAACGTTTTCTACCGTACCATTATTAGCAAAATGGTTGTATTTGCCAAAAATCATAATTGAGTTTGACAATTAATTATTGTTTCAGAGCACATTTCATAATAGACAGGCGAGGTATCCTTCGTCACATGTTGGTGAACGACCTTGGTGTAGGAAGAAACATTGATGAACTGTTGCGGATCACCCGGGCCCTTCAGTATGTGGATGAGACAGAAACCGGTTGTCCTGCGGACTGGAAACCTGGACTGCCCGGAGTCTGAGCATCACCGTTATCAATTAATATTTAATTTAATTATGACAATTCCAGTGTTTTTGGCCGTACAACCTTGATACATTCATGCATTATGTAAAATACATTTAATATCTTAGACAATTGTGTTTTTTCAATTCCTCTTGATGTTCTACACATCCGTGAAAACCATGAAAACAAGCCAGGATTTTTGTTTCGCTACTGGTGTTTTGTGAATTTTGTTATAACCGTTAAAAATAAGGATGGGCTGATTGCGGTATGTAAACCGGTGGTATCAAGGGAATGTCAACTGGATTCAACACCTATCTTAGGATCACTATTATTTTAAGGTACATACCTTTACTTTCACAGTTCAATAGTATGGTCAAACTCACTACATGTTTCGCCTATACATAGGCATTGTCAAGTGATCCATCAAGAACAACTCATCCATTGCAGACTCGTCAAGAACATTCAAATAAATACACATATAAGACGACACATTGTACGACAAAACATTTAACATTTAGTATGCCTACTTGGAGGCAGACTCAAATCTTAGATCTTAGGATCTCCTGAAATCGTGATCACAATTTCCTTGTGATGTTAAAAGAGAACTAATGGAACTGCGTCAGTGGATGCAGACTCGGCCATACGATATTGATCATAGAACTCTCAACCCTTTTTAGATTCACGTACGATGCCGGCATCCACGTTGGCTGGCCAAAGTGTTTAAATATGATATGAGTATGGTACATGTCTCTCGCTTGCTTTTTTTCACAATAGGGGAAAATCTGAGCTGTACTTAGCATGTGGTGGTCGAATCACCTAAATACAGATCTACCTAGTTAGGTGGAAATTGAAATCGATCCACTATTTCTTATTGCCATTACAATTAAAAACTCAATTCTGTAAAGTAAATTTTGTACTAGTGTAGATCCTCACCTATGGCTCGGCCCCCTTGGGTGGGTAGTGCCTTATTAAATTACTAACTACATCCTTTGGAAAATTCCAAGTTTATAGAGGGTTAACACAGACCTGGGAAAGTTAGGAAAACTGGTATAGGGTCAGGGAAGTTAAGGAAAAGTTTAAAAAAGAGGAGACATAGGAATTGGTTAACTCTGGAACTCACTAACTCGGTCGGGTTGCGGAACTGGCGAACCATCCCAGTCAGGAATTGGGTAAATCCGCAACCCGCTAACTGGATTTTGTCCCACGGCAGAATTCGCTAACTCTGGTAGTCACTAACCAACTCTGTACGACGAAATAACCTTACACTGCTGTATTTAAAAATGTCAGTGGCAGTAAAGATAAAATAAATTCCATCGTAGCTACCTAGAGTCCAAAGTAATTAAAGGCAATTAAAAAGACATTATTTTTTATTTATTGAGTTACATGTCAGTACAGTAGAACCTCTTTAATCCGAACCCCCGTAATCCGAACGTCCACTAATCCGAACCCCTCAATGCTGTACTCTATACACAGTACAGCAATTTTTATTGTATACTGTATTTAATTTACAGTACTGTTTATTCACCATGTTTACTACTGTATTAAATAAACACTTTATTTTACTTTTAAAACATTTTTTTACTTTTCCCAAAATAATTTTGATAAATTTTAGGCATGTTTTAGCTATTGTTATGTAAAAACAACAATATGTTCTGTAATCCGAACTATTCAATAGACCGAACTACCCCTGGTCCCAATTAGTTCGGATTAAAGAGGTTCTACTGTACATCATAATAACAGGACATATTGTCAATGGTTAAATAAAGACTTAAAACTAATAGATAAAACTAATACATCTGTATTAGTAAGATATTAAGTTATTTAAGATTTTTGGACCAATGTATTGTGGTGATGACTCGAATATTTGTAAATTATGTGCTACAGGTTTGATAATATTCTTTTTTCCTGTATTGTAATTATGTTGAGTTTGGGTCTCCATAAAAGTGGAGAGGTTTCTATGGACCCAGCATGCTATTTCCAAAATATAGTGATCGTAAAAAGTAAGAACTTTAAAGTTTTCAAACAGTTTTTTACTAGGGGTTCTAGGAGGAACTTTGCCAATAATTTGTATTACTTTTTTTGTAATTTAAAAATCTTTTTTGAATAAGGAGAGTTACCCCAGATCAAGATACCATATGTCATTAATGATGAGAAATATGCATGATATATTATTAGCTGGGTTTCTAGATTCGTTACTTGTGAGATTATTCTTATTGAGAAAATGCAAGGGTCTAATTTTTTACTTAAATTTTCAATTTGAGATGCCCAGTTAAGATTTTTATTCAAAATTAATCCGAGGAATTTTACATTTTTTTGTGGAGATAATTGATAATTTGAAAGGATAATGTGATTTGAATCATCTTCCCTGTAGTTAGCTGAAAAGTTTATAATTTGTGCTTTTTCCACATTTAGGGCCAGACCATTTGCCCGGAACCAGTTACCCAGAGCAGAGAATTTTTTGTCTATGCTAGTCTGCAGGATGTCAATAGTGGGTCCTCTACACAAAAGCATTGTGTCATCTGCATATTGAAAAAGTTTCATCTTTGTTATATTTGGCAGATCATTTACATAGATTAAAAACAAAGAGGGACCCAATATTGACCCCTGTGGCACACCACATTGCACTTTATCCCAAGATGAATTTACTTGTTGACTATTTTTGCTGATTTTAGTTCTCTGATAATATCTATTAGTTAAATAGGAAGAAAACCACAGTTGCTCTTTTCCTATAACTCCAATTTTGCCTAGCTTTTCAATTAAAATGTCGTGGTTAACACAGTCAAAAGCGCTGGATAGGTCGCACAGCACACCCGCAGCCTTGTGCGACCCATCCAGCGCCCCAGCTATATGATTAACCAATAACCATTTGTGTTATTGATGTTTGGGTATTAAGTCCTTTTCTAAAACGAAATTGTGATATATTAAATATATTATTGTTTCCCATATAATTTTTGAATTGTAGTTAAACTGCCTTCTCAAATATCTTAGAAAAGCACGGAAGTAAAGCTACTGGACGATAATTCTTCAATTCATTAACACAATTTTTTTTATAAAGAGGCTTGATTACAGAAAATTTGAGTTTCTCAGGGAAAACTCCACATTCTAGGGACTGGTTTATTATTTTGCACAAGGATTCTTGAATCAAATCAGTCACATATTTTATTACAAATAGGAGGATTTCATCCCATCCTGCAGATTTAGTATTTTTCAATGAATAAACAATTTTTCTCAAATCAGATATTTTAATTTTTTTAAACTTAAAAGGCTCATCAATCTTTGCTAAGTTACGAACCATGAACATCAATGCTTTGTTCTTATTCGGAGCTACTGCTGCTGAATTACTTAAGTTCAAAAAATGACGATTAAAATAATTTGCCAGAGTTTTCAAAGATTGGCAGTTATTTTTCAGGCCGCTCTGAACATTATATGGTATCTCATTATTTAGTTTATTGTGGCCCAACTCCTTCTTTACAACTGCCCAAGAAGCTTTGGTCTTACAATTTGAGTTTTTAATATAATCTTTGTTTGTCCTTCTTTTGGAAAGATTAGTCACTGACTTAAATATTTTTTTGTAATTTTTAAAATACTCAATAAAAAACAGATTCTTGTTCCACTTTGATTCCCAATGAAGTTCTCGTTTTCTAATTGCTGATATTTTAATACCTAGTGTTACCCATTTTAGCGAATTTCCCTATTGAGGAAGTAGCTATTACCGTAGGTCTCATGGTAAGACCTAGGTCCGGGACCCATTTAAACTATTAACATAAAAAACCACCTTTTACCCTCCCTGTTGCAGCAAACCTAAGTACTCGTTAAACTAATTCTATTTAAATAGGGAATAAATATGATATTTTTAAGGAGGCATTTTAGTGTAAATCCAATCAGGCAAATGGAAATTCGCTAAGTCTGCAGGTTTTCTGCGGCGGGGGTATTTTAGATGTCAAGTTATTATTTATGAAATATTATTAGCCGACATAAATAACTGTTTATTTTAAGTACAGTATATTTCAATGTAATTTGGTCGAACAGTGGGTTTCAAAATGTCACAAAAATGATTACATAACAAATTGTTTGTTTACAAAAATAAGCCTATTGATCGACGATATTACATATTTTTACAAAATGTTGTTTTTTCTTACCGTAAAGTACAGTATTTGCATTTTCAGTAAATGAGAAAAGTGAACTAAACACTCACGTATAATCAAGTTTTGTAGTGATAATAATCTGTGTAGCCTATATAAATTATCTGTAGAAATATGAACATATGTTGGATAAATATATTTTTTCTTATTGCTTTAGTTGTTTAGTTAAGATTAATCCATAGTACCGGGGGCAGAGCCTTTGCTCAGTTGTGGTTAATTGGGTTTAATCGTTAAAACAATATCGTTAACATAACTTTATAATTTACGAAAAATATTTTTATTACAAACCATAGATATATGATCGCTGAAATAATAACAACTCTGTAATGTAAAAGTTTGCAATTTAACCAAAATAAGATACACTTTTAACTGCTACTCCCAGAGAATTTTTCTCCCCTTTACTCATTGAAACCGGTAGTTTGACTTGTATGCTCACCAAATGCCAATTAAAACCCCCATAGTTTACTTGGAATGCATGACTTCTGAAAATGTTGACAGATTTTTTACTACCTACTCTTGGGGCTAAGTTCATCTCTGGAGGAGACTACAAACACAAAGCTAAGCATCAAGAGTGGGGTTCATGAT